TTCTTGTTTGGGGACAGGGTCCCACTAAATTAACCAGGCTGGCCTTGAATAATGCAGTCCTCCTGAAGTAGAATAAAGTAGAAAAGGCCAATTATTAGGTAGTGATTTATCATTTATTTAGTGACTCACTTGAAGCAATGCTTGTACTGCCTGTTTGCCTAGCATGACTTCACTTGCTACCTGGGACAGAATGAGGAGGAGCAGCTGAAACAATGGGTCTTTGCCCTTAATGACTTGCTGACTGCCATGTACGCTTCTGTAAAATCCTGCTTGCTTGTCCACTCTGCCTTGTGGTTTTAGAGTATGAAATAAGAATACAGTGAACCCATCATCGAAGCCTTTCAGGAGATGTCCCTGGCTGCAGTCCACTGGTGGCATCTTTCTTCCAGCTCTCTGGTGTCAGGGTGCTTATTCCAGAAAGATTCCCCTAACAGTCTACTGCAAGAGCCACATCAACTAGTTTAACTAGTTTGTCTTTTTTTTTTACTTTGTCACTTTTATTTGTGCTATAAATATACTTTTATTTTCCTTCTCTTTTGTCGGAAGTACTTTTAAGAGAAATCAGGCCATTTCACTCATTGATACTCAGCAGCTATCTTTTACCGGGTGGATGTATTAACTCACCCCCAAGCTACTACTGCAATTAAGGATCAACAGTGTTGCGCACTATCAGTGACGCCCCTTCCACACCAGAGTCCAGGTGACATCAGGAAACCTCTTTCCTGTGTTCATTCACATCCTGATCCTGCTGTTTGCTATGCGATCATGAAATCTGAATTCAGTTGCATTCTTGGCAGGTACACACACCTTCTATGACTTCTGCTCTATTGAGATTTTCTTTTGCCCTAGCCCATTGTTAGTTAATGTGTACACTCCAGAAATGTTTGAGTGGGTGCGTACTTTTATTCATTTGGCACAAGGTTCTGTGTTTCTGTGATCTTGCTACCTAACTAACCCCCTCCGAGCAGTGTTACACAGTGGAGTTTTGTTTGCCAAGGACTGTAAAACTTTAGGTGAGTTAATTAGCTTGTCTGAACCTGTTACTTTCGCTATGAATGGAGAAAGCAGTGAATGTTTCTTAGATGGTTGTTCAAAGGACCAGTTGATTTCCTAAACAGTTAATGCATCTACTAGTGTCAATTAAAAGTCATTTTATTAACATCAGACAACTCTGCACAAGTGAAAGTGTTTGTCCTCATATGAATTTAGTCTTGTGATTTTGTTGGTGTTGTCATTGTTGTTGTTTTTGTAATTATTTTTAAAGCAAGGCTTTGCTCTGCCCAGGCTGGTACTGAACTTGTAGGTTGCAGTGAAAGAAAGAAGGAAGGAAAAAGGAAAGGAAAAAACAAAGAAAAGATGAAAGACAAGAGTAAAACCAAACAAAAGCCCTGAGTCCCTGACGTAGAGAACACAGGGTTGAATCCGAGCTGAGGTGTTTTAGGCACTATGGTGTGGTGAATACAGAGTCACTGTCCATGTGGTGTGTTTAGAACCAGGACTGCCACAAGGTCACAGTGCCACACAGGTGAACCCTGCCAGAAATGGCTCAGACGCAATGGGCATTTGATTTTGAACTAATTTTTAGTCCTAGGGTATTTATAAAACATTTGCTGTTGCCAAAGTTTTCACTACTGGCACATATGGAGTCATGACCACAGTCTAAAAAATGCTTCTACAGTTAGTGGATGAGTTTGAGCATTATAAAAGCTTTGCAAATGGTTTTTGTTTGTTTGTTTTTTTGAAACAAGGTTTCTCTGTGTCGCTCTGGCTGTCCTGGAAATTGTTCTGTAGACCAGGCTAGCATCAAACTCGAGATCTGCTCCGGAGAATCACCTATGATGTGCATGTAGTCACATGTGGCCCTTGAGTTCATCCTCTGAGGACATTACAAGAAATGGAAAAGAGGCATAGAGCAATGATCCATTGTCCCAAGTCACCCACTTTCCAAATGGAGGATTCATTGAACATGTCTTTCCACCCTTGATTCTATTAGTTAAGCACTCTCAGTGTAAGCCACACATACGTCCTCAAGTATCTTTGTGCACTGGATTGGAAGGGTGCCTGGGCACAAGGATTCAGGGATGAAAAGCCACAGCCCATCTGGCCTCAGAACAGTCTAGAACAGTCCCTGAGCTCCATGTTCCAAGCACATCAGAGAGGCCTAGCCCAGTGCCTCTCCAGATTTTAACCCTGTGTCCCTCACTCGGACCTGTCACTTCTCCCTCTGCTGAACTCTGCCTGGTGCTCTCCAGTCTTCTATTCAGTATAGTCTCCAATTGTGTGAGGATCTCCCATAGGACCCAGTCTACAGTCAAGCCTGAGTGAGAAGTAGGGCTATGTCTGCCTGCGTGGACTCTCCACCCCTGGAGAACTGATGCCCCACAGAGTTTGTCCTGAGTGCATTCCTCCTGAAGATCTCTGCAGAGCTTGTCCTGAGTGCATTCCTCCTGAAGATTTCTGCATTTCATTCCTCTGGCTCCATTTTAACCTTCTGGCCTTATGTACCCCAGGGATCAGCAACTTTGTCTTAAAGGGCCAAGTAGTAGAATCTAGGTACTGACCCTTTGGATTCTCAGCTACACGTGACTTTGCTCCTTCCTGCCAGGCTAAAATCTCAGAAAGAAAGAATGCAGTTGACCCAGCCCACTCCCTACACCAGCCCTTGGTGCCCAGACCGTAAATCAGTTCTCTGTACCCTTGAATCCATACCCACCACGAGCTGTCAGCCATGGCTGCATGGATGAACACAAGGCCACCAGGGTGCCCTTCCAGGAAAGGCAGGCAGCCCAGAGGCCAGCTGGGCTTGACAGGCATGCACTGAGGTCCACTGTCCAACAAAGCGCGGCTTATAGCAGATGTATAGACTGGAGAGTGGAAGGACAAGGGACTGAACAAATACTTGGAGATTAAATAGCTTGATTTTTAGAAAAGCATTTGTGGTGGGCGTGTAGCTCAGTGGAGCCCTGCCTGGCATGTGTGGGGCTCTAGGTTCTAGGAATCCCCCGCTCCAGTGAGTGAATGAATGAATAAATGAATTAATGACTAAAGCAGGAAAACCTGCATTTTGAATTTTTGCTTTCACCGCCACCTGCTGGCCAGAACTAATATCAGGCTAAAGTTCAGTTAAGGAGGTTTCCTTGTGTGTAGAAATGTTTTCTAAGAAAAACTCTAGTTTCTTTTAAAAAAAAGTTTACTATTTTAAAATTAACATTTTATTTATAATACAGTTATGTGAATTTTTGTTTTTATTTTATATGTTACATGAAAACATTTTAGAAGAAACCAAGTTGGTATTTTTATTAAAAAATGAATAAAAGATATTTTAAATATCTTTACATAGTCAAAGAATATAGGAAAATCAACATGAAAATATTAGGGGAATGAAGAGATGTATCAGTGGTTAAGAACACTTGCTGCTCTTGAAGAGGACCTGAGTTCAATTTCCAGCACCCCACAGGACAGCTCATAACTACCTGTAACTTTAGCTCTGGCATTCTGATGGCTTCATCTAGGCTCTGTGGGTACATGCATGCATATATACATAAATAAAGATAAATCATTAGAAGTCCACCAGACAAAAACCCCAGACAGTAGGAGACACCTGATCTTTGGAGGGAAGGCTAGCTTGTGCCCTCATGCCACTGCATGACCGCCTAGTGTCTTCACCTCATGACACTGAATGGTGTGCCTCGTCCCCTGCCTCTGGGACAGTGTCACACTAGGCTCTTTTCCTCCTACAGTTCCTCCCGGCCATGCCTCGCTGACCGTCACACGATGACCATCACATGCAGAGCACAGGGCGTTTACCCTGCACGGCAGGCCTTGCACACTTGCCAAGTGTGGTTGCATCTGCCTTCGTCTGCCCGCATAAGCTCCTGGCAACCCCTCTAGAAAGTGCCTCTCTGGCAGTCAGTGACCTCCCTGTGCAGGATTGTGGACCCCTGCTGTTTCCAATCCAGGTCACTGGGGCATCTATGGCAGGTCTTCCTAAACCCCACCCACATCTTTCTCAAGCCCCATTTACTAAGTTCTCAAGTTGCCCAGGGTTCTCATGCTGTCTGCTTCCTGCCCACATCCTGGCTAGGTGTCAGTATCTGTTCAACTGTGTGCGCAGAGAAGGCAATGGCTGGGTCAAGGTCACACTATTCAGGCTGTGCTTCCTCTTATGCATACAGAAACACCGGAACATCCCTTCCAACGTGAGACAGCATTGTATTCTGCAATACTTGAATGGTTTTTAAAGATACATTTGCTTTCATTTTATGTGTATGTGTAAGTGTCTGCCTATATGTATGTGTACCATGTGTGTGTGGTGTCCCAGGAAGCCAGCAAAGGGTGTTGGATCCTCTGGAACTAGAGTTGTGAGCTGCCCTGTGTGGGTGCTGGGAACTGAACTTGGGTCCTCTGCAAGAGCAACAAATGCTTTTAACTGCTGAGCCATCTCTCCAGCCATGCTGAGACAAATTTTTAATGTGAACTGCATGGTAGTCTGTTGTGCAAATTCTAATTGGTCTTAATATTAAAAACCAGAATCAGATACAGGGGTTAATGCTGTAAGATCAGAGAAGCAGAGCAGATTAGCCAGCCACTAGTTCTTACCTCTACTGAATCCTCAGACCAAAGTGGTGATTCTGTCCCTACGAATCCTCAGACTGAATGCAATGAACTCCTGTGTCCTGCCTTATATTCCTCTCTCCACCTCCCAAGTGCTGGGATTAAAGGTGTGTGCCACCACTGCCTGGCCTCTGTGGCTAACTAGTGGCTTAGCTCCACACTCTGATCTTCAGGCAAGCTTTATTTGTTAGATCACAAACAAAATATCACCACAATAGTCTTCTTTAAATTCTTAACTATCAGGACACATGCTTCCACTGCCCTAATGTACTTCTTCAGTGGTTTGTTGGTTAACCCTTAGCCCTCAAAGAGAATGCAGTTGGAGAGTGGTGACAGCCTCTGAGCTTAACACACCATTTTTTTCTTTCTACTTTGCTGCCTTTCAGATCGCCATGAGGTTATCTCCAAAGAGATTTTGGAGCTGGACCCTTGGGAGAACCAGTGGAATGTTGTCGCCATCAACGTCCTCATGCACGACAGCTATGACGTCTGCCTGGTAGCTAGGATGAACCCCCGAGACCTCATCCCACCACCCTCAGATCTGATTGAGGAAGATGGTGACCACCGAGGGCAAAGATGAGGGTCTCGCAGCTGGAGGAGCCATGGCCTGGCAGCCAGACCTCAGATTCAAGACCCAGCATGCTGTGTGGTGCTGATACTCTCATTGCATGCATAGCGGCCCCTGTGTCAAGCTGTACTGAGCAGTGGCCGGGGTGGATGGTACAGGGTCTTCCCTTAGGGGCATCCCAGCCTGGCAAAGTAGATGGGGCAGTGCAGGGTAGATAGTGAGGGTTCATGGGAGTGGGACAGGGAGTGCAAGGAGGACAGCAGCCTGGGTGCTAGGGACTCAAGAACACTGCCCAACAGTCCATGGGTGCTTTTGATGATGGGGCTGTGGGAGCCACCATTCAAAGGCCCTCAAGTGGGAACGCTGGTGTGTGTCTGTGGCATCTAGTCCAGCCGGTCACACTGCTTGCACACAGGATTTGCCACAGAGGGCAAAAAGGTTATAACTAGGTGCCCATGCCTGGATGAGGAAGGAGTCATCTCTCTTGGAGCGTTGCCCCAGCTTTGTCTCTTAGAACGCTCCTGACCTTCAGCAGCAGTGCCCACTGTGGGCCAAATGCTCATACCTGGACCCCAGCTCTGTTGCCATGGACCACAGTGAGCAGAGCATTCCTGGCCACAGAGGGGCCCCTCGGGGTTAGTACTGCGTGTCTAGACTGAACCTGCCCAGGGCCTCTGCCAAGCCCTCAGCTGTACGGGACCCTCCTCAGGTTGAGGCTGGCTGAACAGAGCAGGTCTAAACATGGGGACACAGATTCTGAGTGAGGAGAGAAGAGGCACCCATTGGCTATCTGCCCCTCCTTCAGGTCCCTCCCCTGGCTGGGAGGGTAGGTGAAGCCTACTCCAGCCCAAGCAGGGCACTGTGAGCTCTCCCCAGATGTGCAATTACACGTGGAAACCCGCCTGTTTTGCGTCCATTCATATTTCTGGACGCACAGCAGATCCATTTGGTGGCTGTTCTCCAGCGACTTCCCACAAGCTCCTGGGTAAGCAGGGTGGATGCCCTGGGATCTTCCCAGAGAACCACAGACCCTGCATGGGGACAGTGTGTGCTCTCCAGGCCCCAACCTCTCCCTGATGGGAGAAGCAGACCAGTCAAACTGGAGCCAGTTGCAACTTGTTTCTCACACCAAGGTGGAAATTCTGGGGGCCCAGCACAGGTGCACCTCCAGAAGGCTACACTCTGGGAGGCAGGGACCATGTCTGTCTCTCTGAGGTCACCCCCTAAGTCCCTATTGCAGTATCTCACACATAGGTGGAGTTTTGGGTGACCAGAATAGACAACTAGTCTAAACTAAGATCTTCTTAGTCTCTGAGCCTATCTGGGACTACCAGTTCCAGTATCTTCATTCTGCCCCCTAGTGGAGAGTGATAATCTTTCCTTTTCTCAGACAAACCAGAGCTACTCCTCTGGGAGTAGCCAGTTTGGGGAGAGGCTCTACAGGGTCTCTACCCCCATGAGTTCCTTTCCAGAATCCCTGTCCCTGCTCACCCACCTGGGCGTGTTAGAAGCTGCCTGTCACCTGTATCATGGACTGCAGTGGCTTATCTTCCAAATGCACTGGCCACTTGGAAGCCAGGACCATGGGCGGATCTTTCCAAATCTTGCCTTCCTTCTATACTGATGGGAAGGAAACCCCCACATCTTTACAGGGTTGGTGTGTGGACTGAGTGAGAAAACACTGAGTGAAATACTGTGTTAAACACAAATACCGTGAACAGGTTTTAACTGCTGGCCTTTGTACTGCCACCATGACCAGCATCTCCCAGGAAAAAGCGCAGAACAGAACAGAAACCAGGACCTTAGTGGGGGTCTCAGATTTCAGGAGAGAAATTGGTTTTAATTTCCCCTGTGCTTGGCTCCTTGGGTCTGCAGCCCTTGAGAACATAAGTAGATGCCTCCAGGGGCCTGAGATACTGAGAGCCACCCTGGGCTAGGACACCATTGTTGTCAACGATAGGGAGTTTGGGAAAGGACGGGAATGCTGGAGGAGGACTTGGAAGAGCAGCTGGTCTCCGTGGAGCAGACGTGTCCCAGAGCTGGAGGAGAGGCAGGAGCTGGGAATATTCTCAACTTTTTTCCCAACAGGCACTTCCAAGGTCTCAGATGTCTGATGTGAACTCCTTTTGTTCTACATCCAGAACCCAGAGTACAGGTTTGCCGGCCTCAGTGCTCACTTTCAGCTGGGGCTTCTAGTCTGACTTCCCTATTTGTGATTCAAAACAACCCTCGCTGCCCTCCCAGAGAACTATTGTTAGAGATTCCATTTGAACAGACCTTCCTGTTACTCCTTCACTGTCACTGAAGGTCTTCTGACACTGCACGAAGGCCCCTTATAAAATGTCTACTACTGGGGCTTCTTATCTTCGTGACGCAGGACTGCTGGACGTAGAGCGAGGAAACACAATGGGGAAGTAATTTGGATGCTGGGCTGATAAAGGACTGCAGCTGTCAGCCTCACTGACTCAGTTTGTGCTCAGCAAGAGGCAGCATTGTTCTCAAGCTGACTTTATAATGAAGAAATGCTCTGACTGCAGACTTCTAAAATACATTTTTGCTAATGAACAATAGCCTGCATTTTGGTTGTCATATTGTGAGTGAGTGTAAGTTTCAGTTGAACAAGAATCCCAGTTCCTGGTAAATGTGGTGTTCTCAGAGCAGGTCAAGTAATGTCATGTCAGAGAACAAACATTCAGGACAGAGGCAGGTGGGGAGAGAAGCAAGGGGCAGTAGGTGGCAGGTGGCCTGCTTCTGGGGCAGTGCAAGCTCTGGCCCCTCTCTTTATGGCTCCTCATGCTACACAAAGCAGATGCGCAAACACAGTCCCCTGCCCCGCCCCCTTGAGACAGTCTTGCTATAGTCCAAGCTGACTTCAGTTTTGCAATCCTCCTGCCTCTGCCTCCTGAGCTGTGGGATTACAGGTATGCACCATCATCCCCAGCTAAAAAGTTTTATCTCATGAGGAGAAAAGCCAAACCCATCTCAGTAGGCAAAAATGATGCCCAGAGCCCACACTTCCCGTGTTACTGTATAACCTCAGCGGAACAAGATAATCATGGATTCGGAGGCTTAAACCAGCACAGACTCATCCCCTTACAGTCCTGGGACTCAAGAGCCCTTGTGAATCTCCATGAGCTAAACTCTATGGCAGTGGGGCTGTGACTCTTCTGGAGACTCTTCTGTTTCTGCCTCCAGAATCTGCTGAGCTATCTTATTCTGAGGCCCCTTCCTCCATCTCCAGAACCAGCAACCACACGGCCAGGCCTACATCTTCTCTGTCTCCCTCTTCCACTTTTCAGGACTCTATGATTAAATTGGTCTGCCTGGACCATTCAGGGGACTTCTTGTTAAAGGTCAATTGATTGGTGACTTTAGTCTCTACCATGTAACAAATATATGCAGGTCCTGGCACAGATCTGATGTGGAAAGGGAATAATTTTCCTGCCTTATCATATCAGAAATCCTTTATGTGACCCACACAACAACCCACACAAATATGTAAGTATCTGATTCTCTTCCCCCTTCTCTTTCTCTGGTCAGGAAACACAAGGAAAGTGACAGGGGTATCAATACACATGCCTTAGCACTACCAGCCTGTGCCCTAGAATCTTGCTTGCCTGTGAAGACACAGCAAGAAGTTACCTCTACACCCCAGAGGAGGAGGGATGTCTGGAGCTGGTTGTGGGATGCCTCACATCCATGAGGAACCACCATAAATAAAACCTCTATAGCAGAAGGGAAAAGTGGGCAGAGAGAGCCAGGTCATGATGACACTGCCGAATACCCAAAGTAAATCCTCCCGAAAGCCAGTCCTGCCTCTGGGCCTTTCAGGGTTGTTAGTCAACATCTCAGATTCCTTTGTGAACCATCCCAAGGCTTCTTAACTATGGCACCAGGGAGGAGAGCATCATTAGCAGGAGGTAGGGGTTCGAAGGGTAAGAGAATCATAGGTTGTCCTCCTGGTTGTGCACTTGACTCTGGTCCTTGATTGGGCACTCAAGAGTTAAGTCACACCTATTACACCTGGGGATGGGTCTGAGCAAATGCAACTGTCTAGTCCAATCCAGACACTTGCTGGGAAAGACTCCACATGCTGGAGCCAGTTGCTACCTCATCAGACCTTCATGGGTCTGTTACATGGGACCTAGAATAAGGCCCCAAGAGGCAGAGACACGTCTGTCAAAAAAGGCCAGTTAGAAAACAGAGTAGGGACTCCAGCCTGGGAAGCCAGCAGGCTAAGCTGTTACTCCTCTCCTCAAAATCCAGTCCCCGAGTCTTAACCTCAGCTCTGCAGCAAACTATCTGTGGCCTCCTCCTTCCCCTTTCCCCTTCCCATCCCCCCATCTCGGGTGGATCACATTTCTTCCCCTTCAATCTTCCTTCCCCCAACTCATCACTGTATTCCAGCCCACAAATGCAACAGGCATCCCCTGGGAACGCACCACCCAAGCCTGCCAGAGAAGCAATTAGGCCAGCAAAGCAAATAGGTGACTTCTATCTTTACTTTCCCTCCTTCTCTCAAAATCCAACCTCCAGGCTCACCCCTGGCTCTGTAGCAGACTAATTGCTGTGGCCTATAGTGATATATCTGTCGCCACACCTGTAGCAATGACAGCGCCTTTGGGCTAAAAGGAAAATGTTGCGGGTTGGAAGCCCCCTCAGGTCATGGAGAGCATCAGGGTGGCTGGGTCTGTATCCTTGAAGGTCTCTACAATGATAGCAAATATCAATTATGCCCTAGGAGAAGGAGAGGTAAAAACATCCACAATGTAAGACCTACTGCCAGTGAAGCAACACAGAGCAATTGGCAAGAACTACAGTGGCCTCCCCCTTACTCTCTGCCCCAATTCTCCGGGAACTGAGAAGAGCCTGGTAGAAAGACCCTGCCTTCTTCCCTCCTGTGGACAACTTCAGTCCACTCCCCCCCCCAGCCCATTCCCATTCATAAGTGCCAGCTCCCAATGTCTAAAAAAACATTTTACCCTGAACCACCAGGGACCACACCTATCAAAATCCCATTATAATTCCCTACCAGACAACACACAGCCACCATACCCTCCTAAGAATGGGAAATGGTGACAGAAACCAAGGAACAAAACACCCACCCAACAAAGACAAGACCAGATAACAGGACCTGGAACTACAATAATCCCAAACCCAAATGACTAGACACCAGTATAAAACATAATCAATAACAACTGTAGTTGTTTTTTAGTTTAGCTGTTTTTTTTTTTATTCTTTCACCTCTTTGGGGGAACACCACCCAGCTTCCAAATAAACATACGGAAGCTTATTCTTCTTTACGAATGCCCAGACTTACCTTGTCTTATTTCTATCCATCTTTTCTTTCTAATGATTCATTTATTCTTATTTTATGTGCATTGATGTTTTGCCTTCATGTATATCTGTGTGAGGATGTCAGATCCCCTGGAACTAAAGTCACAGACAGTTGTAAGCTACCATGTGGATGCTGGGAATTGAACATAGGTCCTCTGGAAGAATAACCAGTGCTCCTAACCACTGAGCAATCTCTCCAGCCCCTCTAGCCAATCTTAACTAATTATCCCACTTGCCTTTTTCCTCTGGGATTTTATCTTTCTCTATTCTATATGTCACTCATTACTTCTCACTCCGTTGCTGGCTGCGTGGCTGCGTGGCTGGCCCCTGGTGTCCTCCTCTCCTTCTCACTTTTTGCTCCTCCCTTCTCTCTGTATGTATTCTCTGTGCTTGACAACCCTGCCTGTCCCCTCTTTATTAGACCAATCATGTGTTTTAGGCAGGCAAAGTAACATAGCTTCACAGAGTTAAACAAATGTAACATAAAAGAATGCTGAAGATGGAGGATTCTGACCCGCCTGGTCCCACAACTGCTTTGCTCCAAATAAACACACAAAGACTTAAATTAAGTATAAAAAGTTTGCCTAATGTCTCAGGCTTCTTATTGGCTAGCTCCGTCTTAATTATTAACCCATAACTACTAATCTATGTATTTCTACATGGCCTTATCTTACCAGAGAACACCTGGTGTCTCCCCCCAACCCCCCACACCACCCCTACTCCCCTCAGCTCCTCTGCCATCTCCCCAGCCTCTCCTGGTCTGGTAGCCCCACCTATGCTTCCTACCTGGATACTGGCCGATCAGTGTTTTATTCATCAACCAGTAAGAGAAACATACATACAGAAGGACATCCCCCATCACAGTGCAACAATCTTTGCATCATTAAATAAATATTCCACAGTATAAAAGGATGTAACACATCTTTAACTAATATTCCACAACAGTCAGGACACTTAGTCTCCTCTAGAGCCCTACCACATTAGTCCCTGAGAATTGCAACACAGCTGAAGCACAAAACAAAGACATTAAAATAGCCTTTATGGTGCTTAAAGAGGAAATTAATAAATCCCCTAAAGAAATCTGTGAAAACACAAATAATGGAAGGAAATGAATAAAACAGTTTAAGATCTGAAAGTGAAATTAGAATAATTTCATAAATAAAGAAAAAACAAACTAAAGGAAATATGGAAATGAAAAATTTAGGAATTCAAACAGGAACCTCAGAGACAAGCCTCACCAACAGAATACAAGAGGTGGAAGAGAGAATCTCAGGTACTGAATATACAAGAGAAGAAATATATACCTCAGTGAAAGAAAATGTTAAATCCAAAATAATCCTGGCACAAAACATTCAGGAAATCTGGGACACTATGAAAAACCAAATCTAAGAATAATAGGAATATAGGAAGCAGAAGAAACCCATGTCAAAAGCATAGAAAATATTTTCAACAAAATTTCCCAAACCTAAAAAGGAGATGCCTATCAAGTTACAAGAAGCATACAGAACACCAGAAAAGAAGTTCCCTTCAGCACATAATAATAATAATAAAGCTACAAAGAAAGAATATTGAAAGCTGCAACAGAAAAAGATCAAGTAACAAATAAAGGCAGACGTATTAGAATCACACCCTGACTTCTCGGTAGAGACTCTAAAAGCCAGAAGGCCCTGATCAGATGTTCTAGACTCTTAAGAAACCACAGATGTCAACTCAGAATACTATATCCAGTAAAACTTTCAATCACAATAAATAAAGAAAATAAGACATTATGTGATAAAACCAAATTTAAGCAATATCTGTCTACAAATCCAGTCCTACCAAAGGTTCTAGAAGGAAAATTCCACTTAAAGAGGTAAACACACACAATAAAACACAGGGAATAAATAATCTGAGACCAGCAATTCAAAAGAGATGGAACACACACACCACCACAACAAAATAACAGGAATCAATAAACACTGCTCATTGATATCTCTCAAGACCAACAAAATAGATGTGAAAACAGGACTCAACCTTCTGCTGCATCCAAGAAACATACCTTAACATTGGGATGGGCATTATGTCAGGATAAAAAGATGGAAAAAGATATTCAAAGAAAATGGACCCAAGAAGAAAGTTGGTGTAGCCATTTTAATATCCAACGAAATAGGCTTCAAACCAAAACTAATCAGAAGCGATGAGGTAGGACACTACATTTTCATCAAAGGAAAAACTCCACCAAGAGAACATTACA